AATCCAAATTCAAATTCAAATTCAAACATGAGTGAAGAGGAATTAACAAGTGGAAGCACATGGGAGTGTCCTTTCATTCACTTAATTGCAACAAAACGTCCCCTTTTTCTTCTTTATTATTTTTTTGCCCTTTCTTTTTCACTATTTTCAAAAATGTTCCCCTTTCAATTCACACTTGTTGCTTTTTGCCCTCTTTAAAGTGGGCCCCACCATGTGATAAGCAAACAAACGGACCTTATCAAACCCCAAAAAAACAATAAATAAATAAATAAATAATAAAGCCAACTCAATGACTCACTACTCAACTTTTTGTCCTTATTGATCTCCTTTTCAACCTATCACTATTCCTTTTCTTTGTCCTTTTCTAATTTTAAATTTTATATCCAATAAATTATTCAATTTTACAATATATCTAATAAATTTTTCTATCATTCATAGCCGTAATAAGCTATCCTATTTTTAAGGTCGTTTTTGTTTAGATGTAGTATTAATTCATACATTTTTTTAGAAAGGAAAGCACCGACTACCCATATGTAGGGAAACTTGCACGTGTGGTTCTGGCCGGGGACCCCGGTATACTGTACTAATATGTGTAGCTCCTCGTAATTCGACTGAGATTGTCATGGCATAAAAGCAGGCAAGACAAGGTCGCCTCTCTCCCTATTAGTCGAGCTACTTCACCCCTATCTCTAAAGTTTGTAGACAAGGCTCGTTTTGTACTTGACTTACGAGCTGGTGTAGTACTCACCCCCTATCTCTAAATGGGCTTATGAAGTTCTTCTAGAATGTGCTTTTAGAGAGGCGTTGATCTTGCTCTAAACCGTTATTCGGCTTAAGTCATTATGAGTCAATAAAACATCAAAATTAAAAGTAGAGAATCATATTAGACATAAAATTATTTGCTAATTTCTTTTTAAAAAAAATATAGAAATGTGAGGATGGAATCTAATTTAAAAAAATATTAAATTATTATTAAATTATTTGTTGCCGACGTTTCTAGAAGTGTTTGAAAATGGTACTCTTCAAATTTTATTAATTAATTTTTTTTTTCAACGTAGAAATTGAACTCAAAAGCTTTGGAATGTTTGAATTTATTTATTTATTTATTTTTCTCTAGAAGAAAAATAAGGACTTCATTATTTTTTTTAATTCCAATATATTGATTAAATATATATATTAAAAAATATTATAATTTTAAAGGTAACATGGTGGGGGTGGATTCAAATTATTTATTAAAAAATAAACACATTAGTCACGGTGTGTCATAAATAAAATATTTTATTAATGAATTAATTTTTATATTAAAAAAATAAATATAATATTTAAAATAAAAAAAAAATTAGATAAGCAGTATTACATTTATGCTCTATAGATTCCTTCCCCATAACAATAATAAATATTTATTATTTATTATTTATTATTTATTGGGAATAGTGACCTTTCATAGAGATCTGATATTTGGATTTTATTTAATAAATCTGTTATATATTTAAAATTATAAAAAAAAATATTTATTACACACAAAATTAAAAAATTAAAAAATTTATTTTATTATAATTTATATAATAGATTTATAATTTAATTTGTCTCTTTTTGTTTTTAATTAAGAATAATATTGTAACCAATCGACTTTTTCGACTTGGGTCGATTAGAGTCATGCTTGTAATGTTGGCATATTTTTTAAAAAAAATTAATTATTATATATAATAAATTTTTAAATCATAACTTTAGACTTTATAAACATTATACGGAAGTTAGGTTTATTTTGATATTATTGTATATTCAGTAAACACTTACTTAGTGTGCGTGTCTTTTCTTAAAAAATAATTAGAAACGATTGAGTATTATAAACACTCGATGCATATGTGGAGCATAAAATTGTCTCGTTCAATAAAATTTACATCCTGACCCAAACAATAATCAAAAGAATCACCTTAAAAGTTCATCACCGAACTCTAGTTACATCATTTATCAAGAGATCGAAAGATTCAGAACAAGCAATACCAACTAAGCCTTATAAAAATCAGAGTCTAGTGTTTGTTGGTTGGTGTTCGAAAATGTTTGAACTTTTTGAGCTAGGAATGATCTAACTCAAACTCCATCAAATTGTGAGTGTTGAAGATTGAGCGTTTTCAATATTCGATCTTAAGTAGATGAATAGTGAAACCTGTCAAACCAAATAAAAACATAGAGAGTTCCTGTTGTTACAGACCCAATTGTGGTGATTGGATTTATGGGAATGTTGGAAATCGTGATGATGTCGCAAGGGTCATCGGGTAGCAGCGTTTGAGCAAATCTATTTCATATGTATGATACATAATTGATAAAAAATAAAAATAACAAACACAAACCTTGTCAATGGAGGAAACTAGGTATACGAACAAAACAAAAATTAGGTGTCACAAATATAGTAATTGAACTTAAGCCCTAGCTGTACCCAGCAACCAATAAATGGAACTAATCCATCGACAATCCAACCAAAGATTAAATTACAAGCAATACGATACTTTTTTCTGATCATTGAAACATACACCTCGTGAAATACTTAACTACTTCAAATACGATTCCACTAACAATAAAAGCCAAAAGCATAACATATTTTATCAAATCACGAGAGTTTAATAAATAATTTGTCGAGTATCGAAACAAACACTGCATCAACATCAACATCAACATAGGTAATCAACCGTCCAACAAGCATAATAGGAATATGGGTGATAATAAATTAAAGGTCTTAACCTAATCACATGGGTTGATTCATGATGTGTTGCAATTGAGATTCCTAAGATATGAATTCAATATTGATTGAAAGCATATAAAAACTTATATTTAATGCAAACAAAGTCCACATAGAGCATGTATACAAACATGACAACCTATGATGATACCTAATTTTTGAATTGATATGTTACTATTATAAGTTGAATTATTGCACCAAATCATGACCTCATCAAACCACTCAAATTAAAATATTGATTTGACGTTCGAGTAAATGTGTGAAACTCCACATCGACTAGAGAGAGGAACGGGTGTCATCAAGAACGATGGACCCTAAAGGGTGGTGGATTATGAGAACCTACATCGGTTTGAGAGGGAAACGAAACATTATTTATAAGGGTGTGGAAACCTCTCCCTAACATACTCGTTGTAAAACTGTGAGACTGATAGCGATACGCAATAAGCCAAAGAGGACAATATTTGTGGTAGTGGTGGAAGGGTACATGAATAAACCGAGACCAGTTAAAAAAAACTTAAAAGAATTGATATTTACTATCTATACCAAGAACGTGTTTCGTTTGAAGCGGACAATAATTTTGTAGGGCTTATACCTAATCTTTATGCTCCCTTTTTAAGTTAGAACAATGACAATAATTGATGGAACATTATGAACTTAGAACCCTAATTTTTTTTTTTTTTTTTTTATAACTAATTTGATTGTTTTCAAGAACATTTAATGGATAATATGGGAAGAAGATTTTGGAAGACAGACTGTCAGCCAGAAATAATAAAAATAATAATAATAATAATTAAAACAAATAACAAAATAATTATATCCACAAATTAAAGCTAAAGTAGGCCATCAAAACTCTTTAATTTCCCTTTTTTTTTTTGTATTGAGAACAATTTTCATAATATGAAATGATTGATGTTTTGAGAAATTACTATAAACCCCTTTTTCACTATTATTTTCAAAAATTTAAAAATTAAAATTTTCTTTATTAACAATATATATCATATTCTTTCTTTTTCTTAATTTGGGTAAGATCTGAAACAGTTGAACTATACTCAAATTGATAACTTCATTTGTTTCCGTTTTATATATTCCTATATTCCATGTCAAAGTGAATGTAACTCAACCGTAATCGACATATCCTTCTTCCTTGAAATTACAGATTTAACTCGTTACAAATATAAACACATCTGTTAGGGGTAAATTTTCCCACCCTTAGCAGAAATATTTTGTTTCGTTCTTCAAAGGATGTGATGTGAGATCTCTAACGATAATTATATATATTTTATAAAAAAATATCGCTGATTAATTGCTATTTAAAAAAGTGTAGTGGACTTGAATAGTAAAAAAATAATTAAAATAAAGAAGGCAAAGAAAATAAGGAAAGAGATTCCTAGTCGGATTCCATTAACATAATTACACTTAAAAAAACATCACTTGTTTTACAACCATTTGCATTCATATAAAATTACATAATATATTCAACTTAATTAGCGTTAATGCGTATATTATTAAGAATCGAATTTGATATTAAACTATTACATGATACTATATAAAAAAAATATTATTTTAATTAATGATAAGGACATATAAAATAAGAAAGAAAATGAAGAATTAATTAATTTATATTTTTTTAATATTAAGTATAATTTAAATTTTCATTTAAAAAATCAAACAAAAAATATGATTTTTTTAAGATTAATTCAAAATCACTAAATAAAGTTGTTTCTAAAATATCACCTCAATGATATAATTATTATTAGTTATAATTTTTGTAAATACAACCGAATATAAATTTATTTTATTGAAAAATAAAAAAATAAAACAAATAGAATTAGTGTAAATAATATTTTATTTTAGACGAGAATCTTTAATATTTTATTTAAAAAATACCTTTAAATTTTTGAAATTTTATTAATTTTTTTTAAATTTTAAAAAATAGCTTTTAAAGTGATTTTTAAGTTGGTTATTTACTAAATCAAGATAAATTTATCTCTCTTCTGCCCGATTTTTTCTAAAACCTTTTTCTTGAACGGGAAGAAGAGGCTCGACCAAGGAATAGACTTAACCTTTTTCTTGAACGGGAAGAAGAGGGTCGACCAAGGAATAGACTTAACACTTAACTCGCTACTATTAAAAGTAGGATTGTGACAAGTGGTCGTATTAATAGAAAAGGGTATACATGGAAGAGCATATACCACATATTATGCCTTTGGAAAGAAAAAAAAGAGTCCAAAGAAAGATTTGAATAAAGATTCCATAAGCAAAATTTCAGGAAAACATGAGTTTATATTCCCAGCATTTGCATTCACATCACATTACATTACATATTCCTTCAAAGTTGAAAAACAAAAACCAAACTACTTATCACATTTAAACTTCTCATCTAATTTCTCCCCTTTACTTTTTGTGGGATTTTCTCACTTCCCAAACACTCTTTATACACCAAAAACAAAAGGGTTTGGAGGGAAAGAAAGGATTCCCCAAATTCTACAAGAAACCAAAAAACACAAAAAAAGAACCAACTGTTATCTCTCTCTCTGTCTAGAACCTTCAGTAGAGCAGCCATTAATGGAGTTTGAGCTCTGAAGGTTGAGGTCTCTTATTCACAGGGTTGGGGAAGAAGCAGGCAGCAGGGGTTTATGTACTGGAATGCAAAACTGGCTTTTCAATGCTTTGTTTAAGCATTCTATTCATCATCATGGGTTTCTCTTTTTGGGTTTTTTTTCTTCTTTTTTTTGTGAGTCAAAATGTTAAACGATTTACTCCACTGATGATGTTCCTTCTCCTCCACTCAGAATCCATGGGTGTCCTGTTAACAACAATTTTCAATTCAACATAAGGAGCCAAACAAACAAACAAACAAACAAACAAACAAACAGCGCTGAACTCAAATCTGTAATGAATCTTCTAATGGTTCAAGATTTGTAATCGAATATGGAAACCAACAGTTTGGAGTTCAGAGATCCAAGAACAATCAGATCAAAGAGTGTATAATGCTTTCATTCAATAACAGAAATCAGTGTTTAATTAGAGGAAGTTATACTTACTGAGAGCTTGTTCGGCGGAGAATCTTCTAGAGACATCTCGGCATATCATCTTCTTCATTAAATCCTTAGCCGCAGAGGAAATCGACCTGAAAACCCTAGGTGGAAATCTCAGATTTCCTCTGAGAACGGCCTCAAAAACCTCTGCCGCGGAGTCGCCGTAGAACGGAGGGAATCCAGCCAACATCGTGTAGAGAATCACACCGGCGCTCCATACATCGACTTTCTGACCATATTCAGATCCTCTCAAAACTTCAGGTGCGATGTAGTAAGGCGTTCCGACGACGCCGAAGGTAAATCCGTCTTTGTCGCACCACTCAGCCGATCCGAAATCGATGAGTTTCAAATTGTCTCTGGAATCGAAGAGCACATTATCTGGCTTAACATCGCGATGAACAACGCCATGGTAATGGCAGTGAGCGAGGGCTTGGAGAAGCTGCTTCATAACGATGGCGGCTTCTGATTCGGAAAAAGGACGACGGATAATCCGATCGTAGAGGGAAACGGAGTCGCAGAGCTCGGAGATCAAACAGAGATAATCATCGTTCTCGAAAACGTCAATCAACTGAAGAATATTGGGATGGGGAGGGAGAAGAGCCATGATTTTTGGCTCTTTCTCGAGGCATTCTTTGTCGGTTTCATCGATGAGATCGCTTTTGGCGATGGTTTTGCAGGCGAAGAACTTGTTGGAAATGGGGCAGAAGCAACGAGTGATGGTTCCGAATCGTCCTCTTCCGATCTCCTCCAGGATTTCGTATTGGCTGTTCACAATCATGTCGCCCATTGTTGATGATGATGATGATGATTCTTCTTCTTCTTCTTCTTCTTCTTCTTCTTCCTCTTCTCGCTGGGATTTGGGAAATGTGGGGAGGGATTTTCTGTTTCTCTCTGCAAATTCTTGAAGCTTTCTCTCTCTCTCTCTTAGTGGGAGTGTTTTGGGGGAATCTGTTGGGTATTGGGGGATTTTATAGAGCTTTGATAGGATATGGGATCCTTGCTTCGAATATTCTTTCCGTTGGATACTCTTTAGTTTTGGGAGTTTTTTTTTTTTTTAATTTATTTTTTTATTTTTTATTTTTTATTAATTTCTTATAAATTTGGAATAGGATTTATTGCCAATAATTTATTAGGTTAAAATATTATTTTGATTTCCATCGGTTAACAGTAAATCATGACGACGGTTACATTCACTCAATGGAAATGGTTCTTTTTTACTCTGTAAAGCTAGGTTTTACCGTCTTGCTATTATAGCAGTTAAGAAATCTCACGAGAAGAGTGAAAACCAGATGCATCAAAGCATACATGTCACGAAAAAGACGAGGTTAGGATTACTTATTCCTTTTATTTAGTTTAGGGTAGATTTGAGAAATTTTGAAAACTTGTACAGAGTTCAAAAAGTCACAATAAATAAGTTACAAGAAATATTTGCAGGAATCGATTAGGACTCATACATATGAATATTTAAGATGAATTAATGATGATTTGAACAAGAAAATGGATTAGTTAAACTTTGAATTATGGATCAATGCTGGTTTAGCCTGACATGCATGCTCGATTTTAATGCTTTGATAGGACTATGATATGTTATGTTCTACCATACTCTGCTTGATATGCATGTATGATGTGTGGATATGTCTAATTTATGATTTAATGTCATTTATGCTCCTAAAAGCATGTTAGGAAGTTGGAATACCTACCTACGCTCTCATTGACTTATGGACTAGATGCTATATGCTAGGATATATATGATTTATTAGTGAGTCTTTTTTTAAAATCTTTTTCTAGGTTCTTGAGCCACATTCAGGGCCGGTTATAACGATATGGCTTTACTAGGTCTATGTAAGGATGCTTGGGGCGCAACCCTTAATTGTGAACTCACTTCGAGAGGTGAGGGTCCAATAAACATATAGGACTGCAAAGTCACCAATTTAGAACTCGTGGCACACTAGAGGGAACTACTAAGGTAGCTTCAGTTATGCCTTGTGGCAAGCCGATCTTGCACTGTTCTAGCCTGAAATGACATAGGAATAGGAAGCATTGTCAGGTGCCATTAGGGAAACTTTCAACTAGAAGCACATATGAAGTTATAGGTATATTGAGAGGTCACTTATTGCGAGCAACAACTCCTCCATACTTATTAGAATTCTCTAGAGCCCGAGACATATGAGGGCACCAAACTTATGTGCAGGAAGCCCGATGACCTATTAGACTCTAGAAAGTATGAAATGAGAGATTAAGTGGATTCTGAAACCGAGTTCACCTTGATGGATGACTTACACCCTTAGAATAGGAGAAAGTAAGGTATATAGACCTTAGAATTGGTTTAGTACCTACACTAGATATGCTTCCATTCACAACCAACTCTTTCTTGTCACCTGAAAAATATGAGAGAATAGGAATGAGTAAAAAGACTTAGTAAGTAGCCTACTTTGTATGCTCTTAATCGTGTGCATCGTTGATGCTAGAGTACTACACTTTTTCTTATCCTGATATTGTTCTTGTCCTGAGAATTTAAGTCCTTAGGTTATGTTCTCGAGTTATGAGTTCTAAGTTATTATCCTCATTCTAGCCCGAGGATCTTGATCTTGACTTCTGAGTTTTTAATCATGGTTCTAATCGTAGGACCTTAGTTCTCAGAACTTGGATCTTGATCCTTGTTCATGTTCTTGTCCTTGGTACATGGTTCTTATACTTTAGATGTTCCCCTTGGTACTCATGATTCAGGAGGTCTATATCTAGACGTGGGTCAGTATTTAGGTTTTAGATTTGACCCTATTATTCCCTTAGGTCAAGATCTGGATTTGACCCATTACTGGTTGGCATCCCTTCTAGTCGGAACGCATACTTACAACATCTAAGTCGCTACTACATACATGAATTAATTATGAAACATGGTAAAATCTTTCAAATCATTTTAAAGAGAACCCAAGGGTTTAATGAAAACTTTGTAAGTGTGTCACAAGTGCCTAATTGGGCAAGACAACTATGAGTTAGAATAAAAAATTGCTAAGAATAAAATATTGCTTTGTGGGTCGAAAGCCGGAATCCTTGAGGATAAGTCTCAATTGTCAATGAAGCATGAAACAAACTCATTTGCTAAGGGCTTGAGAGTTTAAATGGGCAGACATTGAATCAGAAGGTGTACCAAGTCGGTGCCTTTGAAAGAGTCATTCACATAAAAAAAATAATGCCAATGATTGTAAGCAGAGAAATCGGGGGTTAGATGAGGCGCCAAGTGCCACATGTGCACCATGCAAGTCCATATGGGGGATGATGTCGCTACAAGAGAGGCAATTGAGTGTAGTAGGAGAAAGCTTGAGAAAATGGGTTGATCATTCCAAAGAAGTGCTCCAAGAAGTGAGTATACGTGTGTTTCTTAAGTCATCACTTAGTACCTAAGATGGATGGCTTCATAAGAGCATTGAGATCAGCATCCGCTTGAGATGAGAGCATCAGGTTGGACATGGGCAACATAGTGAATGAAGCTGCAGCAAGACACGATAAGAGTCAGTGCAGCGGTTGCCATATGAAGGTGGCTAGTTGAGAAGTTTGCTGGAGTGTAGTGCCAATACGGGGCTGAGTTACAAGCTTCTAGGCCTTTCTTTCAAAAAAGGATGTGGCCTAATAAGAGAATGTTGTGATACAGACCTCTATACGATAAAGAAAATATAACGGTTTGGGTCATGATGCCCACGTTTGGGTCACGCTCTCCCTATCTCATGCAAGAAATGTCAATGCTAGTTTTTTTTCCATGATTTGTCTCGGAAGTTCTGAGCCGAGTCCAAAAAGTGAGTGAAGTTAGGTCCATGGAGGGATAGTCCACAGCCATTGGACAAGTTATGTTTTGTCGTGCTTATGGTGCGAGTCCCAGAGATCGAGAGAAAGTCCGACTGTGGAATAGCTCATAAGTAGTGAGAAGCTAGTCCGATATTTGAGCCATCATTGGGATGATGTCGAGATTAAGTGAGAGAGAGTGTCAGAATGGACAATCCGATGTGCCCCCTAAGAAAGTCATCGAAGAGAATGACTAGGTTAAGTGGAGAGTAGAGTATCACAACCTCACTAAGAGAAAGTAGGTTTTGACCTCCACACACAAGATAGACAAGGGGCGACCCTCAAGTGACACTTATCCAGCCACGTGAGGTCCAAGATTGAAAAGTGTCATGATGCAATCGAGAAGGATGGTCCATCATCTAACACACCAAGAGTGTGCATTCAACTCAAGCTGAGGCATAGACAAGGTTCGAGAGAATGAGGTAACACGAGTGTCGAAGACAAGCTCGAAGAGGGCTAGGTAGGGCCCCAAACCATAACCTCAGAAGTTGAGGTTTTGTTATGAGTCATGCAACTCAAGAATTAAGTCCGTTTATATGCAAGATGAAAGGTCACAAAATTTAGTGTCAATCGAATACTCGATGGATGATGAATGAGGTATTATAATCGTTCACCAGTTCAAGGACTCCAAAGAAGGAGTCGAACCTTGATTAAGGGGAGTATATTTGAGAGCTATAGAGAATGAGGTTTCAGGAGAGGCTCTATGGCTTATTTTGTCCAAGGGAGGATTATTGAGAGGTGCAGTCCCACGTTGGCTAATTAAGAAAAAGTTCATGTGATAAGGCAATCTTAATACTTTGATCATGGTGGAGCAAATACCCTTTGAATCAAAGAAATTAACGACCTCTTTATACAAAATTCGGATCAACCAAGAGATGAGCCTAAAATTAGATTACCTCTTAAGATCAATGATCTAGAATGATCTAGAAGTAAGATATGAAACCTTGTTCTGAATTGAGTCACCTCACAATCGAACTTGTTCAAGACTTGATTGAATGACTCAGATGTAATTTACCACAAGAATTGCTTCAAACTTAGAAATGATAATGCTTAAATTTATAAGGGTGAAAGTCTCAAATTGAGAACTTAATTTTATTCTTAAAAAATATACTTTTTTACATACAAATTTATGGGTATTTATAGTCTCTCCACAAAAGAAACTCTCAACTCTTCAAACGCTGACCAAAAGAAGTTAGTAGCCATGATTGGTAAGTTACACCCCACTACACCCCATTCACATTTTTCGTTCGGCGTGTGAGGCCAAACAAGCTTAAATTCTGTAAAAGTTGTGTAACCTCGATGAAGTTCTGATGAAGCCATAAAGTCACGCAAAAAATGTGAATGAGGCTTGAGTTCCTCTCAAGGCTTGTCATTTGCATGTAAATATTACAAAGCCGCATAGTTGAAGAAGTACGACTGTGAGAGTTAGTATCAGAGCCACATTTTGTGTGTCTAGTCGGACAAGACAGAGAACTCAAGACACAAAACTTGACTGTGAGAAAGTAGGTTGTGACGGTTGGAAAAACTTAAATGAAAGGGGTACTTTTATTTTTTTGTTAATTTGAGTGAGTTTTGAAACTCATCGTTCAAAGAAAAGGCCAAAAGAAAAAATGAAAAGCCAATAACTAAGAGTAGTGGGTTAGAAAATGATAGCAAATGTAATAGCCAATTTTAGCCTTTAGAAAACCTATAAATTAGTTTGTTTTCATTTTCCATTCTAAAAAGCAGAGGAGAAAGTAGAGTGTAATAGAAAAAGGGTTTTTCAGAATTCCTTGTCCCTCCCCTCTCGACATCTCATTCACAGTTCCGTGAGTGTTATTTTAACAAATTGGTATTAGAGCGAGCTTTTATTTCAACAAATTGGTATCAGAACCGATGGCGAATATGATGGGTCAAATGCCGCTATCACGATTAACGAAGACGAACTACGAGAATTGGAGCATCCAAATGAAAACTCTTCTCGGTTCTCAATACGCATGGGAGATGGTCGAACAAGGTTTCGAAGAACTGAAGGATACCACGGGTTATACCGCAGTGCAAAACAAGGTGTTAAAAGAATTGCGGTCAAAGGATAAGGCAGCATTATACATGTTGTTCCGGGTCGTTGACGAGTCG